GGGGGGGGGGGGAGGTACATATCGTGGGCTTGGCTGGCAGCCGGCCGAGAGAGCGCAGCCGCATGAGCTCTCACGCGCCACCGCCCACGCCGGGGTGTCTTAGCGCGCGGCCGCGCCTGGAGGTAGAGCGTGCGCGGCACAGGTCTCACCTCCCGGCAATCGGCCGGTCGCCAGCGGGTATGGCTGCGCTGCCCTCGAAGCATGGAGCGCGGAAGCAGCCGGGGGTGGGGGTGGGGCGGCGACGGCGACCGCGTTGAGAGGCAGCCGGCCTTGGCGCAGCCTGACGCAGCAGCCGCTTTCAGAGCCGCAGCCGCGACGGCCGGCCCTTACCTGTGTGTCAAGGCAGCGCCGCTGGCGGCGCAACACAGTCGCGTTGCACGTCCTTGGTTGACGTTGTTGGCGTTTGCAGACTCGGCACTTGTCCCCTTCGCACACCTGCTTGTCACCCGCCCGTCACCTGCCCCGTCACTGCAGATTGTGTACGAGTTCCTGCTGCGGTACGTGGTGTCCAACGACACGGACGCCAAGGTGGCCAAGAAGTGAGTTGCGGCGGACGCCCGGTGACACAAGGGGATAAGGGTTGCCTCGTGCAGACAGCAGCAGCAGCAGCAGCAGCAGCAGCGGCAGCAGCAGCGGCGGCAGCAGCGGCGGCGGCAGCAGCGGCGGCGGCGCGTCTCCCAGACGCAGACGCCGCAGGATGGCGGCTTCGACGGACCCAAGGCTGCATGTGGGATGGCGCAGCCGCGACTCGGCGCCCGGCGGCCGCGGCGCTGCCGGCCGCGGCGTCACTTGCGGCGCGGCGGTATCAGGTCCCGCCTTTCATCCGGGTTCCTGACGAGTCCAATGGGAACCCCACAATGGAACATTTCACTCGAATCTCATCCTTCACATCAGCCGCACCCTGTCCAGCTGTCGCTATTGTGTCTTTCTCCAACCATCATCATCCAATCCTAATCGCCTGCTGCAATCTCAGGTATGTCGACCAGGGTTTTGTGCTGCGGCTGCTGGAGCTGTTTGACAGCGAGGACCCGCGCGAGAGGGATTACCTGAAGACCATCCTGCACAGGATCTACGGTGAGGGGGGATCTAGGTGGGAGATCTGGGCGGGCGATCTGGGCGGGCGACCTGAGCCGACAATTTGGGCGCGTGTTCTGGTGGCGGGGCGTGCGGCGCGGGCTGAAGTGGGTAGGGGTCGCCGCCGCGGTGGCGTAGCGGTGGCGGGCTGCGGAGGGAGGTGGCGTTGGTGCGCCGCTGCGGGCGGCGGGACTGGCTTGCCGCCTTGGGAGGCGCGGCGCGGTGGTGGGCCGCAGCGCCGCGCGCCACAGCGGTGCAGCGGCCCAGCTGTTGCGCGGGGAGGTTTGAACGGGGAGAACCTACTGAGCCAGGCTGCTTGGAAAGCAGCCGCGAACGCAAGATTGGCAGTGGGGACATGTCGCACGTCGCAGCCAGCCGCACCCATGCACCTCAGCCCCGCCAAACAAGCACTCCCAGCAAAATTCAGTCTCTGTTTGACCCGCCTTTGATGCTTCTGAAACACTTTGCATTTGCAAATGCGTTCTTGCGAGCCCTTCGGCGAGACCGCGACCGCCTCACGCTGACCGCTGCCTGCCACCCCGCCCCTCCCC